ACCAGTGGATTCATTAAATATACTAGTGCAGTGTTATTTAAACAAAGCCAGCAGTCAATGACGGCGGCGTTGACTCGTGCGAGTTCACGAGCCCCGCTCAGTTCAGTTCAGCTTCGTCAGCGGTTTCATGCACACCCACAGATATTTGGTGGCGTGTTATTTCGTGAAATGACAGCGCTAATATTGAAGCCAGCCAAATTAGTGACTGTGTCTTCGCGATATTGTTCACGGATTTCGTGGTGTTACATTTCGCGAGAGATTATCTACGAATTTTGTGGACTTTATTTCGCGAGGTCACTAATAATATTTAATACTTCTAGATAATATTAGAAGTTTCATAGAGGCTAATTAAGAGGCTATTATCAATAATTGTGTATATTATTTCTCCAAAACAGAGAATTATTTAATATATATTGCACTAGTGATCACAGTATATTTACTAATTGCCAACCCACAACAGGGTAGGATAAAACCATTGACTAGTTGAACTATTATCGTTCATCCTAGTCCCATTATTACTATAGTCAGTTGTACTATATTCAACAACCTAACACCATTAATGAATGGTCCAGACCCTATTTTGGGTGTAATTTTTATCAACTCGAGTTGAGTTGTATATATAATAATTTACTTATGATCATTACACCTTTGAGTGATTAATTAGTGTCAATACCATCCTAGGGTGATATAGAAGAGCTAACCTAAAGGTACTTCCAGTGACACTGGTTTATCACTCAAATCATTAGTGTGTATGATTGTATATATATAATGTGTATTAATTTTAAGTGCTAACCTCTAGTAGAGGTAGGATTATTGCCTAGTGAGTTCAGAATTTACCCTAGGCTACCATTAGTGTTTGTTCAGTATTATGAGCAGCCCAAGTACAAGTCCCACAAGGCTTCACCAACGAGCCAGTATGGATAATGCAGGGAGAATGAAAAGAACCCTTGCAGGTCTTAAAGGCCACTTAACAAGACAGATCAAGAAATGTGAAGATTTATCACAACAATCTCAAGTTGATTATGCTGACCTGGAAAGCTATTATCAAGCAGCTGCAGGTAAATTTGAGCAAATCAAATGCCAAATGGCTGTCCTTGTGGGGACAGACTACTACCATCAATTCATCGGTAGCCCTACTAAATATCAGGGCATAACCATGTTAAACTCTGCAGGAGGTAAATTACTCTCAGGCCCAGTATCAAGCCTGAGGAGACCTATGCCTGCAGATAAACAATACCAGTAGAAACCTAAATTTGTCAGCTGATTATATTTCTCCAGTAGCATTATACTAAGGAGATTACAGCTGACTATACCAACAGAGGTTGATGTTAGTATCATCATTTGAAGCTGAAGATGAGTTCACGAGGCCTCAGTGGCAAATCAGTGAAAAGTAGCCTAAAACAGCTACAAGTCACTGCGACCAATGTCACTGAACCCACTGCAGTCTCAGAACCATACTTTACTTTAATGATGAGCTATTCAATCTTCTGAATCAATTAACTAAATTAAACCCCAATAAATCTGATGACTGATTTGATACATTTATTATTTAATCAAGATGTATTCCATGGGCCTCAGTGTTTATATATCAGTGACCAGTTACCTGAAGAAACTTCAAGTTATATCTAATGTCACTGATCTCACTGCAGTCCCTGAATCATACTTGACTGTAGTACTTGATCACATTCAGTCTTTTGGGTTAAATAATATGTAATAAGGCTTGAATATTAGCCTTTCAAGAGTTGACAGGGAAATGAAATCGCATTAGACTTCTAACCCCTGCAACTCTAGTACGGGACATCCGTCCTGTACGAACAGACACACAAATGTGTGATTACTAACTACTAACATCAAATTAATCTAATAATTCGAAGGAGGAGTATCGGTGTTCGTCTGTTCTAATTAGGACTTCGACCCGTGAGCAGCCCCTGGGGAATTATGTCGGAAAATCCGACACCATTTAATATATCATACAGACAGATAATAGCTGTGTTGTATAAGCAAGTTAACCCATAGAAAACGTAACTTGTAGTGGAATTACCGTCTAAAGAAAACGGGATATCATCACCACATACTATTATATTCTCCACCTATTATGGTGTGAATTATTCTTAAATACATTAGTCTTTGGACTTTACCATCATAAAAACATCTTATATAAATTAACTTAATTATCAATATTAAAGTAGAGTAAATGTGACCCTTCTATCACTTTCTGAAATCTGGACAATGTAGGCCAGGCGTCAGTGAGGAAGGAGGGGAGCCATTGATGTGTCACATCCGAGACGCGTGGAGCAAATTCGGCTCCTATCATATCTGGACAATGTCGGCCAGGCGTCAATAGTATGGAGTGTTAGACGCAGCCATTGTTGAGACTAGACCAGAGGCTCACACGGGAGCAAATTCAGCTCCTGTTAATTTACTTGGACGTAGTGTTATGGAAACCAGAAGTGTACCATTATCAACACGCTGTCTACAAATCAAGTTAAGTGTTCTTTCTGAAACCCATTATCTATCATTAGTGGCCATTAATGTCATTGGGTAGGGTGACCCGGTTAGATCACGAAATCGCCTCATACTAAAGGTAATTAAGCCAGGTCTTCATGTTCCATGTACAGTTTTCTCTGAAATACTTGTCATATATAGAATCTGGCTTTACAGCTAGCGCCCTTTTGACAGGTCAAGTGGAGAAAGCAAGATTTTGTGCACCAGTTACTGGGTGATGGAAGCTACCTCAAAGAGGATAATTTGGTGTCTACACCCTAGTTATACCTGGTGGACTAACCTGCTGTACTATAAGATAAGGAACCTTTTCAATGTATGTAGTCTATTACTGTGGTTTGATTGGCTGCATATATAAATTTAATAAACCCCCCTAATGTGTAGAGGATCGATTTGTGAGATTATGAGGTTATTGTAGAAATACAGTCCACTTAACATTATACAAATTGCTATCGAAGTATATAAATTAACGTAAATATAAATTCATATAAATTAAATAAATATAAATCTCACAGGTCGGTTCCCACAGCATTTATTCACTATACACAGACATTATATATACATATTTCCATGTTTTGTTCACCATAACTGTACATCTAAGCTTGTATGGTGAGTAAAGGCACAAAGACGTAGCTACTCACACAGTCAGCTGATCGGCGGCAGCCCTCAAGGCCAGACGCACTAATATTTGTCCTCCAACAATATTGTTTGTGGTGTTATTATGCTATATACACACATTATATATAAGTATCTACCTGTTTTATTCACCATACCTGTACACATAAGCTGGTATGGTGCTCAAAGACCATAGTGGCCATCTGTAAACAACATGCCAAGTCGTGCAGACGACACTCCTCCCTCACCAAAATGGAGGCTCCCAACCTACTCCTCTTGCTGTTATCTCACACTATACACACGTTATATATAAGTATCTACATTTGTGTTCACCATAGCGAACCACTAAGCTGGTATGGTGAGTGCAGTCAATAAATGGTGACCACACACAGTCAGAAGACGACGCCACAACCCTCCCTCCACAGCCTTACTCCTCCCTCCATGGAGCACAGCGCTAAATATCACCACAATCCTGCTATTATCAGAATCCTGGTCAGTTTTATCACAGTCAGGGGGCTTCAGTAATACTATCACTGCTAAATAATAGCAGTATCATATATATTATGGCATTTGTAGGCGATGCTGTGGTCACAAGCTGAACAGCGGTGCTGTGAGCTCGTGCTGCGTGCGCCAGCCTTGGTGGCTTGCTTAATACTGATGCTCTAACACCCAAGAATGTTGGCCTGGATTTTTTTTCTAGGCTGCATCTGGCAACTATCGGTCGTGGCTGTATTATAGCTGCCCCTATCCCAGGCGGAGCGTTTAAATTATAGCGCTAGACACGAAATCGTATATAAATGATGTGTGCGGTTTCGGTTTTGTCACTGATATCATTTATATATGATATGCGCGGTTTGAGGGCTAAACAACAGTGGCCATTCCCTACTGTACCCTGCTGAAACGAAGGGGAGTAGACTGGGAAAGCTTGTTTGCACTGCTTCCAATACCACATCCCTTTTTACCTTGTTGAAAGCATTTTTAAAGTCTAATTTAATTAATGCTTTATTTTCTGGGAGATGATTAACTACTTTGTATTCTAAGTATCCTTGTCACACTTACATCTTTACAGCATCCTTTACAATCCCACTATGCATCTCAGTCTCTGTATCTCCATCTTCATTGACACCTTCCCTTAAAAATATAGGCTCGTGCTGCATGAGCTGCTGCTTCACAGTCATGGGGGACACCAAAACCTAGTTGATGGGGTCGAAGTATCGTTGCAACTTCTGTGCGGATGTTTCAGACAGCAGCTTATATATGAGGGTTCCTGTAGTACAGTTGGGTTCGTTCTCGACATATAATCACGAGCGGGAGAGAAATGGTTGGACATTTTTCCCTTCACCTAATGCATCTGTTCACCTAGATGTAAGTAGGTACTCAGGAGCTACTCAGCTTGTTGTGGGGTTGCATCATGGGTAGGGTCAGTAATTCAACCATGAGGGGGGGGGGGATCTTAATATAAGTCTAACGTGTGTGTGTGTGTGTGAATACACTCTGGGTTGCCTGTCCCCCGACACAATGAATTATAAATTTTAAATTTACACAGTACAGTATTACTATCAGAATGATGATGATAATGGCAACCTTTTGCCAAGAATTACCGATGCGTGCAGCATATTATGACACATTTTGCATCATCTGCTGACACAGTCTGCTGGTGAGGTGTGTAGTACTCTGCTGTCCTTGGGATTCATTATCACACTCACAAAGGTGATCTAATCATCCTTAAACAGCTTTTTTTTTTTAAGTGAATATAATCATGGTTATCTGACATATGCAAGGTATCCCAAATAAATCAAGTACTATGAACTACTGAAATATTTAAAAAAAAAAATCCTGAGGTAAACTGCTTGTTATATACAAAAGAATCAACACACACTTACCTGAAGTTTGTCATTCCGAATCACAGCAGATGAAGTGTTAGATTTACTAGAGTCAATACCAACAACATTTAAGCCATACTGAAGTACTAATGATGAACTCAAATAACCCCGTCCACTACCAAGGTCCACTATCGAATCCACTTCACATCCTACGGAATAAATATTTATAAAGACAAATGAGACAAATAATGTTGATGAACGCAGACAACAATGAGAACGCAGACAACACTATAAAAGAAGGAAAAAATAATGGAAATGCTTAAACAGACATGACTTTCCCTAAAAAGAAATAATAATTTAAACTGGGAGATTGAAGAAATCGAGCAGAAACTGAAATACTCATATCAGATTAAGGAAATGCAACTAGAACAGAAAGCAATTCAAGAAATAAAGAAAAACACAAAATAGTTCATCACATATGCAAAATCAAAAGCAAAAACCACTGCCAGTATTGGACCTATCCATACGAGTGAAGGATGAGTGATTAGTGAAATCCTAAATAAGCAGTATGAGGATATATTATAACAGCATGAAAGTGGAAGATCCAAACAACTTGTTTATGCATGATATCCAAACCCCTGTAAATATAACTGATATCAACACGAATGTGACAGATTTTGAAAGAGAAATTGAAAACATGCCCATGCATTCAGCCCTGGGTCTAGATTCATGGAATTCAATATTTATAAAGAAATGTAAGGTGCCAGTAGCACAGGCACTCAATATAGTGTGGAGGAAGAGCTTGGCCACGGGAGTGATACAAGATGTGCTTAACAACTGTGCTGCTCGGGATAGAAATATGGCACCCCACCTGTGCGCATGAAATAAAATCTTGGGATTTTTTTTTAAATTGTTAAAAACACTTCCCGGATTACATATACATAAAAACAAACTTGAAATTGTACTTACTTTGGCCACAATGGGGTCCAGAAAATGGCATGTGACGTCACGATTTAGTGGTCGCCCGTGGCGTAGACTCCCAGGGGCAGTCGTGCGCCACATTCAACATGCGCAAGTTGCCACAAATAATTTTTAGTTCATTTTTTGTGTACATTTCCAAATGCATTTTTTTGTTTCTTTCTTGCCAATCCTATGTGTAATGAACACATACACAATATTATGGCAGTAGAACATCCGTACTTGGGATGACAGTGTGTAGTAACACAGTGTCATCCCAAGACACTGTGTTACATACATCACAAATGTCTCTACATATATTGCTCATATCCAATGTTTCATGTTCATTCTTGTATATTTACAACATATTTACACACTATACAATATCACACACTATATACACTCACCATCAACATACTCAGAACTTCGCGAGTGTGTGATATGCTGCGAAACAGTTGACGGGGAATAGTAGAACTTTGCACTCAACGCACCAGGTGGAGATGCATCTTCGTTTGCGTTCTCTACGTCCAGTGTTCTTGCATAAAACACAGGCATGTTTACCATTGTCCCATGATGTTGTGACATGCATATACTCAAGCTTGTTTACACCAAACATCTCGTTACCCCCTCTGTCTGTCTGGAACTGCGTGTGGCATTGTTGCTGGCACCCCGCGCATTGCAACAGAGCCCTCCTTTCCAGACTTCACGAGCAGTTGTGAAACTACAGCAACACTAAATGTCCGTATTGGGGGTCTCCTGCCTGATTCTACTAGATACGTGTTAAAACAGTTGAGCATTGCAACATCAGTGAGGTGGAAAAATAATTTTTTTGTCCACTTTTCAGATTTACGCACCCACTTGATGGCACCGCACATCATGTCACATTTATCTACTAGGCGCATGTTGACGTTGTAGTGTATGACACAACTGGGTTTTATGTTGGGAAGTGTGTTTGAAAGTGCACTATTCCATTGTCCAACATGGCACCGGTGTGAATTGTTGTCAACATATTGACCTCACGTCTGTCCCTCCACCGCACCGATAACATCTTGTCACACTTGCGCAGCTAGTAGTCACCCACTCCAATACCTATGCCGAACACTGGCATTTCCTTCCTGTGAGCCTTCACAGTGTCACATACGCCAGTGTTGTGGTCAAGGAGGTATCTGTTCAACAAGGGGCTGGTATAGTAGTTGTCGATGAACAGTATGTGCCCCTTGTTCAGCAATGGTTCCATGAGGGTTTTGATGACACTGCCGGAGAACCCATGTGGCTCTTGAGCTGGAATGTCGACGACTGTACCTGAATACAGTATCATGTCCATGACGGTACCAGTTGCAGTTGCACAGCACGAAAAACTTTAGTCCAAACCGGTGCCGCTTTGATGGGATGTGCAGTACTGCTTGAATGCCAGTCATCCCTTGAAGAGGACTAGCGATTTATCAATCACCACATTCTGTCCTGGTACAAAATATTCACGGAACTTGTCTCTCATATCACTAAAAACCTTCCGTGCCATCCAAAGTCTGTCGTGTCTGTCCTCATTCTCACTGTTTTCATTGTGCAGGCACCTGAGAAGCAACAGGAACCTATCACGTGACATGTACCTGTTGAACATCGGGGATCTAACAAGGCTGTCTTTACTCCAGTAATAATGGATGGCGTGTTTCTCAGAGTATTTAATCATCATCATCGTGCTCAATGCAAGAAACATGTACATTTCGTCATTTGTGGTGTCCTTCCATCGTGTCATGCGAGAGGCAGGTAAAATGCTGGAGTCTATGAGGCTGTGAGCGTATCTGTTCGTCTCTGCCTCAAGATGGTTCATGAATTCATTATCAAAATAAGCCAGGGAAATAGTCGATTTCAGCCATATCATCACCTGTATAGGGGGGAATAATGGTGTCATGCCAACATTGGTACTATCAAAAGTTGGTATTTGTGGGACAAATCTCTCACAATCCTCCCAAGCAAGTACACCCGGGGGTTTGGTTTTGGCGCCAACACCACCACCACGAGCATCAAAAACACGGCTCCATTGCCTTGTGCTAGAGCTTTGTATAGGTATGGCAGGAGATGAAGCTGTTCTGCATATCGTAGGACTATTACGAACACCTGATGTTGAGGAACAGAGTTGTCATTGTCCTCTTGCCGTATGACACGCTGCCACTTGCCTTGGCGTGTGTCTGGGGCAGCAAAACCCTGCCTAGTAACACCCCTCGTTGCTCATACTTGGGTCATCAACACTACTTGTATCAGAGCAAATGTCACTGAAGCCCGAGAATGATTCATCACAAGTACTATCACTGAATAAAAATAGTGGTGGTGACTAACAGTGTTGACCCAGGATGGCGAGGCAGGCCGGGCAATGGCTGTGTACTGTACACACTTGAGACATCATCCACCTCAGTCTCTCCCTAAGTCACTCGTACCAGCCCCTGTGTAAGGTCTTTTTCTGGATCATAGTGTAAGTCATCATCCATGACACTATCATCGTACAATATGTCGCGAATTTCCTCCTCAGAGAGTCGTTTTGCATGGCCACGGCTGACTGTGAAGCAGGAGCTCGTAGACGATGCATCAGACATGGTTGCTTCCTTGAAACTGGGGCATGGTCCTGGGGCCTGCTGGGATTTTTTTCAAAATGGCAGATGATAACTTGGGCCCTCAGGCATCTATTTTGTACCCGCATTACCGTGTGCCAGTTTTGAGTACTATGCTATACCTATAAGATCCCTGAGGCCCTTTGCACACCACCCGTCAAGCACCTCATAATGGTCATGAGAGATTATTGCACAAGCAGATAAAGATAAATCACGACTGTTGATACTAGGGGACTTCAACTTTAAAGCAATAGACTGGGAGGCCTATGAAGCAAGAACGGAGGACTTTTGGACATGCAGATTTGTGAACCTCATTCTGGAGACATTCTTGTATCAACACATAAAGCAAGCCACAAGAATGAGGGAAGGAGATGTGCCGTCAGTACTGGATCTAGCATTCACCAGGAAAGAAGAAGAAATATTTGACATCCAGTACCTTCCTCCCTTGGGAAAGAGTGATCATGTCCTGTTAGACATTGATTATGCTTTAAGATATCATCTAGAAGAAAATGGGGACATTGAAACAGTTGATAAACTCGATTTAAGGAGAGGACACTATGGGGAACTTCAAAATTTTTTTAATGAGTGTAATTGGACAGAATTGTTGCTAGGCAGGGAAGTAAATGAAATGTATGCCAAATTTTTAAAAATATACGAGGAAGGCACACAAACATTCATACCAAAACAGAGATGCAGGGCCAGAAAACAGCATTGGTTCGACAGAAATTGTGAGAGGGCAAGAGACCAAAAGACACAAAAATGGAATCAGTATAGGAAGAGGCCAAACCCACAAACATACCAGCGATACAAAGATGCGAGAAACAACTATACAGCAGTAAGGAGAGAGGCAGAAAGAAATTTTGAAAAAGGGATAGCGGATAAATGTAAAACAGAACCGGGCCTATTCTACAAATTCATAAACAACAAATTGCAGGTAAAGGATAATATCCAGAGGTTGAAAATGGGAAACAGATTCACGGAAAATGAAAAGGAAATGTGTGAAACATTAAATGAAAAGTTCCAAAGTGTGTTTGTACAAAATGAAATCTTCAGAGAACCAGACACAATAAGAATTCCAGAGAACAACATAGAGCGGATAGAGGTGTCTAGAGATGAAGTGGAAAATATGCTAAAGGAGCTCGGTAAGAACAAAGCAGCTGGCCCAGATGGCGTTTCACCATGGGTTCTGAGAGAATGTGCATCTGAGCTCAGCATTCCACTTCACCTGATCTTTCAGGCATCCCTGTGTACAGGAATCGTAGCAGACATGTGGAAACAGGCTAACATAGTTCCAATCTACAAAAGTGGCAGCAGGGAAGACCCCCTCAATTATAGACCCGTATCATTGACAAGTGTAATAGTGAAAGTATTGGAAAAACTAATCAAAACTAAATGGGTAGAACACCTGGAGAGAAATAATATAATATCAGACAGACAGTATGGTTTTCGATCTGGAAGATCCTGTGTATCGAATTTACTCAGTTTCTATGATCGAGCCACAGAGATATTACAGGAAAGAGATGGTTGGGTTGATTGCATCTATCTGGACCTAAAAAAGGCTTTCGACAGAGTTCCACATAAGAGGTTGTTCTGGAAACTGGAAAATATTGGAGGGGTGACAGGTAAGCTTCTATCAGGGATGAAAAATT